CATTTAGGGTCAAAAGTTATTACACTTAGGACCTTTATTACATTTAGGGCCAAAAGTTATTACACTTAGGACCTTTATTACATTTAGGGTCATTTATTACATACACCCAATGCAAAAATGGCTGCCAAATGAATCTTCTTTTGTTTAAATTAAAATTAGCCCAACTAGCCTCGCTTGGGATAAGGTATTCTTTTGAATTTTGTACTGAAGAACGAGGCTAGTTAGGCTTATTTAAATTCAGACAAAAGAATATCAATCTGGTAGCCATTTTTGCATTGGGTGTATTTGAGGCCTCAACACGGGGTTGTCCAATTATCCATAGTCTCTCTAACGGAGCAATGTTGGAGAGACTGGTGAATGCCACATTATGATGCTACAGCTAATGCAAATACAATGCACCAATAGGTCTATTTGTTTTCCAGGCCTAATCTACTGTGATCGAACATGATTCCTTTTTTTCGGTGTACAAATAACTTGATGACGTTTGATGTAAAATTTGTTTCACTCTTGGACGGTCAAATTTTGATTTTTCTCTAAAATCACTCAGTCTTTGTCTCAAAAGTCAAATAAATGTGCCCTGATTTGTGGATTACAAGTTTATTGTTTGATTTAAATTATGAATTTATTAACGGGAGCTTCGCTTTTAGCCCTGGCTAAATCTATATATTAGAAAAATAATACCTTTTTTCAATCCCAACATGAGAAACGCGGGGTAAACGGGAAAGGCGTTAAATTCGTCAGCCCCAAGATTAACGATTGCACATTTCCGGATTAAATCAGATACACTCACGTTGCTTCTAGCTCACTGGCGTAAAAAGTAGAAAACAAAAATGTCCATGTATTAATTAATTTACTTCAACTTTGAAAATGTTATATCACGGCAATTGAATAAAATTAAATGTCACAACACGGATCAGAGGTAGAAAAATTAATGTTCCATCACGGTGGTAAAGTGATATCAAGGTAAACGCGTTACATCTCGGTAGTGAAATGATATAAAGGCAGTTAATGTTACATCGCGGTAGTACAATGATATCAAGATAGAAAATGACCATCAGGGTAGTAGAACGAAATTAAGGGGAAAAATAACAAAAGGTTGGTTGATTCTATCACAGGAACATTTCATTGGATATGTTACACCACATTAATCATTACGTGAAAAGATCGACTACTCCGTATAATTTTCAAACAACAACTTTAGAACCTTCTTTCCTAGTACTGTAAAAAATTTTATATAATACTCAACCCCTTGTAATTCTTATATTGATCTCCTTGTTTTATGCTGACTGGAAATTTGAGAAAGAAAATTATTTTGACAAGGTAAACACCTCGAAGGCTTCGCGCGGATGTGTCATTTCTAGGCAATCACAGTAGAATTGCGTAAGCATTAATTTGAGCTGAGAAGATGGGTTTGCTAGTCAGTATAAAAGCAAGGTGCGCAAATAATATATAGGGAGAGAACGACAACCATATTGAAGAGAGAATGGTAAAACCTAGAAGCTACAAAGTGAATAAACGTCCTGAATCAAAAGAAGTTGTATTGTGAAAAGGCTACAGCTAGTCCCCGCAGAAAAGTCTTTTTACATAGTGCATAGTGTTTTTATATAGTGTAAAATAATAAACAATTATTGGATGAGGTTTTTGTGATATCCAGAATAATCAAAGTCGAGGTAGGGGTTCGGCTTCGGCTGATAACCCTCAATGAGACCTTGATTACTGTGGATATCAGAAAAACCGAATCTAATAATTGTTTTATTATACATTGAACGAATTCTTTCTTTCTCGCTTCGCCATAAAATGTATGTTTTCAAGGTTTGTGCCAACTTTTTCTTTTCCTCACGTTCTCGCAGTCTTTTCTTTTTCACGTAATCAGCAAACAGCTCCTTTGCCACATTCGTCGACCTTTTTGTGTTTTGTGAGTCCTTGTCTTCATGGCCATAGGAAAATTGTTTAGACACGGAAGGATTATTTATTATCCTCGAAATAGAATGACAAAACGGATTTGTAATAGTCAGTCAAAGGATTAAGTTTCATTCCTTTTCCTTTCAAATCGCTGTGTATTTGACTCTTTTTGTTATTGGTTTTTAATAAAGTTTTTACGTTTACACTGCGGCACTGCGAGCGCTAGCGGCAACGTGTGAATTGGGCGAGTTAAAAGATGAGATGATCCTCGACCGCCTTGTTTGTGGAATCGCCGACAATAGTGTTCGACGAAAGTTGTTGCAAGAGCCTAAATTATTGCTTGAAAAGTGTTTGGATATCAGTCGATCAGCCGAAGCCACCAGCGCTCATCTTAAGGCCATCAGCGGGCATTCTTCGACCACAGGGCCACCAGCAAATAATGTTAATGCAGTAGACAAGCGGAGAAGTCGAAGCGCCACCGAATCGACGCAGCAATGGTCAGATGCAAAAACAGCCCCTACCTGAACCTAAAGACCTGGTAAAGCGTTGTAAACACTGCAGAAGAAGTCACGTCAAGCAACGTACCAAGTGTCCTGCATTTGGAAAGTTGTGTAGTGCATGCAATAAACCAAATCATTTTGCTGAAATGTGCAGAAGTACTTCTGGTAAAAATGGCCGACCACGGAATGGTGTTAACTTCTATTAATTCTTCCTCCGAAGAAGAATTGCTGTCAGTGTCTTGACTCATATGAAGGAAATGTACATGCGGTCAACGAAGACAACCTTCCTGAGAAGAAAATCTTTGCGACAATGGAAATCGCAGGAGCAAGTATCCGAATGCAAATTGACAAGGGTGCTTCATGTAATGTCTTACCTCATATCAGAAATATGTGCTCCCCCCCCGGAACACTCATTACCGAGACTGACCGTACTTTGAAGATGTATAGCAAGTCTACTTTGCCTGTTTTAGGAACATGTAGAGTGACATGCGTAACCCAAAGAACAGCAGGAAGTACAATGTTGAATTTGTTGTTGTGAAAGGCAATTACACACCGCTGATTGGATCTCGTGCTTCTCAGCAAATGAATCTGGTAACTGTACACCAAGAAAACACTCAGCAAGTTACCATTCAGAATCTTACCCTGAATCAAGTGATAGAGGAGTTGTGAGATGTGTTTAAAGGACAAGGCTGTATGGAAGGGAAACTGCACCTTGAAATTGATGGAACAGTCACACCAGTGATTAATCCATCCCGTCGAGTCCCATTCGCACTCAAAGATAGCTACACAGATAGGGCTACCCGGTGTACACAGAATATTTGATGACCTGCCGATAACAGGAAAGGGTCCTACCCTCTTAGCAACAACACAGGAACATGACAGGAACTTAAGAAGTCTTTTAGAAAGATGACAAGAAAGGAACATTAAGCTCAGTAGAGTTAAGTTCATGTTCAAGTGCTCCCAAGTTCCATTTATCGGTCACTTATCGACTAACGAAGGATTGAAACCTGATCCACAAAAGTAGAAGCTATCTGCAACATGCCCAAACCTGAAGATGTTCAAGCTGTACAGCGCTTCGGTAACACAGTTAAGTACCTCTCAAGGTTCTTAGAAGACCTGTCTGATATGTCTGAGCCCATCCGCAGACTTACCCATAAAGGTGCTCCTTGGGGGTGGTCTCAGGAGCAAGAAGAAGCCTTTACAAAGATCAAGGAAGCTGCGTCCACTGCTTTAGTGTTAAAGTTCTTCAATCCAAGTGAGCCGGTTGAGGGTGAAGGAGATGCCTCAGAGAAAGGAAGCTCAGCCTGTAACCTATGCTAACAGATCACTCACGAAAGCTGAGCAAAACTACTCACAAATCGAGAGGGAGCTCCTTGCACAAGTCTTTGGCATGGAGTGTAATCACCAATATGTATGCGACAGAAACGTTACCCTGTGGACAGACCACAAGCCTTTGCAGATAATCGCCAAGAAACCTCTGGCTGCTGCTCCCAAACGTATACAGCGTCTTATGATGAGGTTAACGCAGTATGATGCGGAAAGCAAGTACAGGCGTGGCCCTGATATGTATCTCGCCGATACACTTTCCAGAGCATACTTGCCACAGGAACACTACCCAGGAAGGGCAGATCAAGAAGTAGAGAGGGTCCATTCTGTGAATTTCCTATCAATATCTGAGCCACAGATCCAAGAAATCCGCGAAGAAACTGCCAAAGATCCTGTCCTGCAGACTCTTAAAGCGACGATTCTAAATGGTTGGCCTAGCTAAAGAAAGAAACTTTTTTTAAAAATTTTTAATAAAGAAAGAAACTGCCTCCCGAACTGCATGAGTGCTTCAAAGTCAAGGACGAGTTGGCTACACAAGATGGTATTATTTTCAAGGGTCCCAAATGTGTCATCCCGAAAAGTTTAAGACCTAAGATCAAGGAAAAGCTTCACCGATCCCATATCGTTGTTCAAGGATGTTTAAGAAGGGCACGTGAAGTGGTCTACTGGCCCAATATGACAAGAGAAGTGACAGAATTCATCTCAAAATGTGAAACCTGCAACACCTTTCAATCTTCCCAGCAGAAAGAGCCCCTTATTTGCCATGAAACCCCACAGCATCCCTGGGAAAAGATTGGCTGTGATATCTGTTCACATTTAATAACCAGGACTACCTGTGTACGGTTGATTACTTCTCTGATTATTTTGAGATTGACGAGTTACACAAGTCAAAGACAGGAGCCATAGCGATTGGAAAGCTGAAGAAACGTTTTAGCACCCATGGAATTCCAGATACATTTCACAGTGACAATGGTCCACCCTTTACTTTAAATGAATTCTCAGCCTTTGCAGTAATGCACGAGTTCGAACATGTTACCAGTTCGCCGGAGTATCCGCAGAGCAATGGCAAAGTAGAAAATGCTGTCAAAACAGCAAAAAATCTGAGGAAGAAATCTGCTAGCACAAGCTCAGATTTTCACCTTGCCCTACTTGACTGGTGAAACAGCCGAACTGAAGGTATGAAGAGTTCACCAGCACAGCGAATGTTTGGCAGGCGCACCAGAACACTGCTGTCGACCTCAAAGAAACTCCTGAAACCCCAGTTAGTCACAGATGTCAGAGAGGAAGCTACAAAGAAAAGAAGTTCAGAAACGTTATTACAATCCAGATGTCAAAGAAGTTCCCTGCCTCATTAAAGGCGATGTTGTACGCATTAACCCGCAAGCCTCTGATGCAAAGCAGAGATGGACCAAGAAAAAAGTTGAACAACAAGTAGATGTCAGATCCTACGCTGTTAGAACAGAAGATGGCAGGTTGTTCCGAAGAAACCGGAGACATCTTCGACAGTCAAAGGAACCGTTCATGCCTAAAGATGCGGATGTTGAAATTCCAAGTCCAATTCTGAACAGTCCACCAACCACAGCCAGCACAGAAACCGTATCAGGAGAGAACAGTGCAGGATGCCCTACAGCACTGTCCAGAAAGCGACCAGAGTCAGGACCACCAGCTACCTGTCCAGCCCCATTGGCTGAGTGCCAAAAGAGCAATGCAGTCACACGCAGCGGACGCTCTATTCGCCCCCCTGGCTACTTAAAAGACTGTTCAGACCTAGGTCTTTTATGTTTTTTTTTCTTTGTTTTATTTTTTCTGCTAAGTTTACGCTGAACGTTTTTTTTCCTGAACATTTCAGTGAACATCTATGCGAACATTTTATTGTGACCGTTCATCGTTTCAATTTTTTTCTGTAGTTCCAGTTTTTCTTAAAAAAAAAGAAGGAAAGGTGTAACGTTATTATGTCACGTAATCGCTTATGTTATGTGACTCAAGTTAGCCAATCATGTTAGTCTAACCACGTGTTAAAAGATTCGCTTCGCTAGTAAGTTTTTCGGAGCCGATGAGTCTTTTTGCTGTTGAATTTCAAAATTCCAACTACCTTGTGATATAGACATATTAAATTCTGCAAGCAGAATACTGCAATGCTGATCGTACTACGTGAACATTAACTCTGCAAGACATCAACACGACACCGAAAGAACTCAAAACAGAGCGGGATTGTAGCCATAGACAGCTGTTTCGCCCTTTTTGGGGCTCGTCAGTATGGTGCAACAACCAGGAAAGCTCTGATGAAAAATATCCGCGCACTCTGATTTTAAGCATTTTGGCTGATCAGGTCTTTATAGATCCTACGTTCTTCGGCATATTCGTTTGCGGTCCTTTGCAGTCCTTTGTGGTTAATGTTTGTACTTTATGAATTTTTGGGCCGTAGGTCTTTTATAGATCCGATATTGCATGGTTCTGTCCATGTTTTTGAGGTTGGTTTTGGCCAATTCTTGACTTTCTCGCGAGACATCGACTTGACACTTGGACTCTTGCCCCCCAGAAGACACGTGGTATGGCGTGATTCTGTGGGTGTTGAGAGTTCTGGGTCAGGGCTTAAAATCAGAGTGCGCGGGTATTTTTCATCAGAGCTTTCTCTGGTTGTTGCGCCATACTGACGAGCTCCAAAAAGGGCGAAACAGCTGTCTATGGCTACAATCCCGCTCTGTTTTGAGTTCTTTCGGTGTCGTGTTGATGTCTTGCAGAGTTAATTTTCACGTAGTACGATCAGCATTGTAGTATTCTGCGTGCAGAATTTAATATGTCTGCATTTTTATTTTTGCTGATCAGGTCTTTATAGATCCTTCGTTCTTCCGTATATTCGTTTGCGGTTCTTCGCAGTCCTTTGTGGTTAATGTTTGTACCTTGCGATAGTTTATTTGACCGGAATCCCAACAGGCCCTTATGCATATTAATAAAGGGTACGCACACGGAACGCTAAGGGAACGCACCAAAGGGGCCCAAATCATCCCTCTATGTGTCATGCTATTAATTTTAGTCTAAGATGTCATACACTTTTCTAGTTTTAGATTATGATCTCAACATTATTTTGATGACGTTAACCCTAGGGTATTCTGACGTCACTTGCTCATAGCTAACTTAAAATAAACTATGACATCATCCTATCTTAGTGACATGTATGACGTCATTGGCATTAAATTTATGCCACTTCAAACTAATGAGATTCCACTTCAAAAAAGTGGAGTAACCGGTCCCTCCTATACTACTTGGGTTGTTCTTCGCATGAAGTGCTGACAAAAAATGGCCGCTCNGGGAAAGCTAGGAGAAATGCTCCTACTGATTTAAGTCACGCAACACGCTTTAAGACCGCATAACTTGATCTTTCTGTTATCTTTTGTTCTTCTATTGTCTCCAAAACAATAACGATGTTTTACCAATTTCCACCTACAAATAATAGGAAACATTTGATTGACAGAAAAATTTGCATTTACTAGCGACGCGTATCTACAGGCGCGATTCCGTAATGTCGCCTACTCGAGGCAAAACGTTGGCGTCTTCCTGTAGCATTCGTTTTCCTATTTACTTGAAACTAGAATTTCTGCAAACATTTGCTTTCAAATTTGGTTTGTCATAAATATACTTCGATTTTTGGGCCAAATTTCTCTTGTTTGGAAACGCTGAGTTCACGAAACGGTCTCTTCTACGCGAATAAACGGGAGTTGTAAACAATCCATCGAGCACAAAACTCAGCTATAGTAAATGGGAAAACGCCGTTTTGAATCCTTCGAAGTCTTTTCTTGCCTTGGATTTTCTCGACTTTTAAAGATCATTCTCTTAAAAAATGGGGAAAACACCGAGCTCACACATTATCCACTCGCTAGGAGGTGAATATTGTGTAATTGTCCGAGATAGCGAACCAATCAGACTGCTTAAATCACCAAGATCACTGAGTGATCAGAGGATGTTATCACCTCGGCCTTCGGCTTCGGCGAATAACACCCTCCTCGACCTCCATAATTCTTCATATCCTACTCAGCATCATTCATTAATTGCTAATTTACTTTTTACCGGTATCACTTGTAATAATAATAATAATAAACTTTATTCCAGTGTCAGTTACTTAAAGGGACACAGTCAGCTATAGGACCGCGCTGACCTGGACACTACTTTTGCGAGTTTGAAAAGCGATGACCTCAACCCGAAATCAAATCTACGCGTCGGGTACATTTAGAAAGCCGCTTCAATCCTGCCTAGTGTTTGATTCGATCCTCGATCTTTTACTGAAAACTTCTTTTTGCGCAAACTTTTACTCATCCTATTACAGTATTCTATCATATTTGGTTAAAAACAGTACTCAAAGGAACATGAACAGAAGAGGTAAGAAACGCGTAGGCGCCGGGCGGGAGAAATCGCCTTCGTTTACCAAAGTAACAAGAGAAATAAATCAGTAACATTGGCGAGCAAATAGTCGTTATATATATTTGGAAACGAGAATGTAAAGATTACATATATTTGGAAAATCAAGCTTTCTCTACCTTGAACCTTCGACAATGTTTGAGACTTCGCGCAATTTCTCACCTCTACCGATGTTCGAATTCGGAATTATTCGTCGATGTTTGGCTTTCCCTGGAAAAATCCATCGGTGAATGCTAAGTGGTATATATATAAAAAATGAGTTCTCTGATATGGCTTATGCCAGTCTATAATCACGATTTCAGCTTGTAACTAGTTCAACTCTCCACGATTTGTTTCGAGTATTGCGGATACGCTTCCCCCTTTTTTGTCTCACGCGCGTCTCGTGACATGCAAATCAGCTAGGAAATGGTATCTAACGCGCATGTGCATCAGCTGACTGTGTCCCTTTAAGCTATAA